ACAATTTAATCTGCGGCTGTCGCAGCGCCGAAAGAATGCGTTGCAAACTTTTGTTGTGAATTATGCGAAACTACAAAAGCGAATGGGAGTGAAAAGGAGAGTGACAAAGACAGAGAGAGAAGGAGCAACATATTGTTAACCGGTTTGAAATTAATTTGATTTTTATATACAATACACACACACACACTATATACACACATTTTCAAGGTTGATTTCGTATGCACAAAAGCCAAAAAACAAATGCTGACAGCAGCATTATAAATAGGGACAGAGATGTCTGTCTGTCGGTGTACGCCTCGACTTTGGCTTTAAGATGCGCATTAGGAAGCACTCTGTTAATTAATTCCAGCTGCCGATTGACTTTGGCACAGCCGGCATACATTTATAATCAGCGCTGAAGATCGTTTAGCAGCTCCGCAACATTTGACACAATTTGTAGGCGTGTGCCTCAGCACTGGGTTACGCCTACCTTTGACTCCCGCCTCCCCGCTCTTTGCAACTGCAACACGCAAGCGGAGAAACTTTAAAGTCACAAGTGCAACAGCAGGAAAATCGCGAATTTATGCCAAAGCCAAAAGTTGAATACCCTAATGGATGCAATTGGCTAACTCTTTTGGTAATGAAGCTATAGAGTGGATTGAATGAAACTTTACTTAATCTATATAACTATATAGCTTTTGGTTTAAGTATTCCACTTCATAAACGTATAGTTAATAACTTATCTTCTTTCTATTTCCCCCCATCTACCATCCATTTCATTTATTCATCGTGATTTTTCAATGCAAATTGCAGTGTAATCTCAGAAAAGTGTTTGAAGATCATTAACCATATAAATTAAAATCTATTTCACATGGCTTTCAGATGAAAGTGCCCAAGCCCCATCTCTTCTCTTCATTAATAAAGGCAACCAACTGTCCGACATATGCAACACAGCTCATTCACAAGTGTATTACAACAACAACAACAACAACAACATGAAACGGCTGCTATGCGTGCATACAAAGTTAGGAAAGTAAGAAGAAGAAAGACTTAAAAAAGCGATACGGAAATGCAGATAAAACCTTTGGAAAATTAATGAGCTGAAAACAATGCGGACATTGTTAAGAAACACAGACAGACGAAGGATGATGATGAGGATGGGAGGTTGGGAGGATGGAGGTGAGGGTGAGACGCGCCGAGTTCAATATTTTGACACAAAATGCCAAGGAGCAGCAACAACTACAACAACAGCAAAAACATTGCAGAAAAAAATCCCTCAACTCAAATACGACAAACTATGTTCGAAATTATCGGGAAAAAAAAGTAAAAGTTTTCGTTAAATGAAGTTAATAATCGATGATGATGATGATTTACTATAATAATGATATCGCAGACATCAATCAAATGGCAAAAAAAAAACGAAACGCACATTAAAAGCAATCAAAACAAAACGGAAAATGTGTGAAAAATTCGAGAGGGAGAGAGGGACCGAGAGAGGCAGAGCAAAGGCAGTAAACTAGGTAACAAAGGTGGGTCAAATATTGCGCCATAAAAAAGTACAACAACAACAACAACAACAACAATGGCTGCCAATACAGCCTCTAAACGGTTCGCTTTTCATTTTACACCTTCGACGAAAAACAATTTCCCTCCACCCTATCCCCACCACAGCCTCTTCAACAGGTAGTAAACAAATCAAAAAGGAGGTCAACTATATATTGGCACACAGATTTGGGGAGCACAGTTTATAGATGTTAGTTGTAGTTGTAGCAATTGTTGCTGCTTTTGTTGCAGCTGTCGACGAGTGCTGCCAACTTGTCGATAATTGCAAAATTCTTAAGTGCTTCCCATTTGGCAAACGAGCTGCTGGCAGACAGCTACAAATACCCTGGAATTTCGTTTGAAGTCGCTCAATTTGAAGTGTAAACAAAAAGTGCTTCCAATTCAGAGTGCGAGCAGATGGACGGGAGAGAGCGAGAGATATGTAAATAGAATTGAGGATTTGGGGTGGAACCCCATTGCACACCGTGTTTATACGAGGGAACGCCTTGTATATATTTGCCATGGGTATATTTAGTGGAGTAAATGTTGCGGAATTGATTACTGGATTTATGCAGTTAATGGAACGAATGGATCATACGAATTTCTGATGAAGAAACATTCTTGAAGCTGAGTCATGCATCGCTGGCAAGCGGCAGCCATGCAAATATGCGAAAGGAATAATACGAAATGTGGAGTGGAAGAGAGATATGGAATAAAGAAAAAGAGTAGGTGAAGAAAAGCATAAATGAATCAGAATTTCATATAGAAATTAAGATTGCTGAAGGATTTAAAGGGAGGAGAAAGAGAAGACATATAGATAAATCAAATATGAGATACATATATAATCTATATACTACTATCAGCAACTTCTCTGGCCCTTTCCTATATCATCCCATCTATGATTCGTATATTTATGCTTCTCTTATTCATCTATATTCTTAAGACCCTACCATTTAGCCTACTTTATCGAGTATTTTCCAATATCAATCAAGTATTCATCTCTTTTTACGAATATTCTCTCTCGTCATCTTTCCGCTTTGAAAGCAGATCAAACAACTTGCTCATTGCGTTCATTCATAAAGTTTTCTCAGGCCATTTCACTTGCAATTAGCAGTGGGCCCAAAACATCGCCACTTCCTGCTTAGGCCCCATACGGGAATACACGTTCAAAAAGCATTTCAATTGATGTTCGGCGCCTCAGTTATGAATCTTTGAATGAGCTTCGAGTGCGATTGGCTTTCACAGGTCTCTCCCACGCCCGAAACGAAAACGAAAAAAAAAAAAACCACTGGCGATTAAGGCTCGTTAATTTCTTGACTACTTTGTGTAATAGCTCTTGGCCTAAGGCCCGTAACGGCTAATGAGCCATTAACACGCTTATCGGTGCTAGCCAAGATGAAGGCGGAGGCAGCTGAAAATTCGAGCCCGAAAAGGCGTCGCACGTGAGCGGGAATTCGTTAGCTTTTTTCTGGGTCTGGGGTCAGGCGCGAAAAATAACTAAATATGAGTTTCCTCAATTAGATTTTCCAGACACGATCCAAACGTATAGGGTATGCCATATAACGAAATGCAAATCGCATTAAGACGCGCTTTTAATCTGCGCTGCAAGGCATCGTCTCTCTCACTCTCTTTGTCTCGCTCCCGCTCACACTCAGTTCGGTTTTTGCAGAGTTGAAATCGCCTTAAACGCTAAACGAATCGCTTGTCTGTTGGGTCACCAGGTCAAAAGCGAGTCACAAAGCCAGAAAACAGCTCCAACAACAAAAGCAATAAAAAAAGCTGTTGCAACTTGTGTGTGGAGATCAATGGTAATCCATAGGTAAAAAAAAGGGCATTCTTTTGGAAAGTGACTATACTGGAACTGGAACTGGAACTGGAACTGGATTGGCTTCTGCCCGTGCTAATGCTGCCCCAGGCAAGTAGAAGCGCTCAGCACTTATGCTCAAGTGCCGCCCTCTAGCGGCCATCTCTGTATATAATATGCGAAAAAGAACATAAATAAACAAACGTAGCTGGATGAGTAAACACTTACAATAGCATTATTATTTTGAGTTTTTGTTTATTGTGAAACTCAGCAGGATCATTTCGTAAAGTGAAGTGTTTGTATTTCTGTCTCCCTCCATTTTAGCTCTATGTGTGAACTGATGTAGGCGAAAGCAGAGTGAGTGGAGAAATATGCACGAGAGGATTGAAGATAACAGCCTAATTGCAACAGATGCATGGACCAGCTGTCAAAACAGTCGTTTAGAGTATAGGAAACTACTTAACAATATTAATCCATATATATCAATGAACCTTACAATTCGCCGCATTCATATAACTGAATCAATTTTTTACTCTTTCCAGTGACAGTTTAGCTGTAAACCCAATCTATTAGACAATAAACTTGCAATGAATCAGAAAGTCCAATTGGAATTAAATGCCCTTGACAATTCGCCGCATTCACATCCAATGATAAGCTTCAACTATTAACCATCACTACTTCTACTTTCTATTGCATTTAGAGTGTTTGTTGCGCATTTTCATGAATATTTTATTACATCAACTTGAACATCAATCGCTGCAGCAATTGGTTTTGCAGCCCCCGCACAGTGCTTGCTATCAATCGATAGACAGAAACGGCAGATAAATAAAGCAGCCCACGCACAACAAATGCAACAAAAACAACGACAGCAAATATGCCGCCTGCTGTCATTGCACAGTTATGCACAAATACACGCTCACACACATACACTCACAGAAAGAAGCAGCCGCACTTTAAAGTGCAAGTGTGTGCGTGAGTGAGAGAGAGCAAGCAAATAAATATTATCGCAGTCGGCGGTCGGTCGGGCGAATTCAAAGTTATTACGAAATCGCAATCGAACATAACGGTAGATAGCAAAAACAGCAGTAAAGCACACACATAAATACACACATATATTCACAATAGGAAAGAGGCAAGGCGAAATGAAATTAAAACATAAATGGAGCGAAAAAGCAGACGAGCCACTAACAACTAAAAAAAACTTCTAATTGATGAAGTAGTTCAAAAACTATTTTTGTATAAGAATTCAATAAAAATAAGAATTTCGTTTAGTTTTTTTTTACATTGTATGCATTATAATCCACAAATGTACCGAAGTTTTGCCTCCATTTCCGATAGCAATTCACTGCAAGCGCAACAGCGACGGCAGCGAATGGGAAGACAATGGCGTAAAGCACATAACAAGCGAATAAGCGTAGCTGGCAAAGCAGCCAGAACAAAAGCTGACTGCAGCAGCAGCGAAATAGAAAAGAAAAGCCAAAGAACCAAATGCCAGAGAAAAAGAGTAGCAAGCTAAACTCACTCACACACATACACAAGTAAATTTTTTTTTTTGCTGCTGCACTTAAATCGACTTCTCGCTCTCTTCCAGTGAGCGCATGGAACGTAAATTAATTTAATGTGCTCTCGTAAAGTTCTTCATTTTTTTTTCCTTTTTTGTTAACAAGTGACTTACCTGCTTTGTTGCTGTTCGTGTTGATGTTAAGCCAGCTGCTTCGTTGAGTTTGTTGAATGATTTAGTTTACAAACACATACACTCACAATAAATACACAATACCAGATTTTTTTCAATGCGGCAACGCATGCGCAACTTGCAAATTCCAATTGGAATTTGAACCCCACAGCACTCAGCACATGTAAAGCGCAAAATCAAATGCAAAAGCAAACACAAAACGCATACGTGCTTCTTCTTTTCTTTTACTCTCTCACATACAGGGCGAATTTGTCGCCCTCACACACACACAATTGCACGCACTGCATTCGCCGTCGGGTTTTTTCTTCTCTCAGCATATAAATGTGTGCATGAGTGTGTTTCTACGGACGTGTGTGTGTGTGTGTCGATACCTGCTAGTTGCTTGTTTTAAACTTTAATTTTAGCACATTTAGCTGCTCTTTGTGCTCGCAATTCACACGCAGACATTCAGAAATATTATTTCATCTGTTTTACTTGTTTGGTGTTTGCGGCACTTTGATTTCCGTGCACATGCACTTTGTCGGACACTAATACAGACACTATAACCATGCACATGTATGCAAACAGCTTTGTATTTACCGCTGTTTCATGGCAAAACTATTTCAAGTAATAAAAACTAAACGCGACCAGTGGTTTTCACAATTCGATTAATCAACGACGACAATTACACTTATAACAAAACATTTAACACTTTTTCTTTAACTGTGCACACGCGTCGGCGGCCATTTGTTTGAAATGAAACAACACAGCGACGCGAATAACGTCCGCTACGCGTCCAAACCGCTCGAAGTTGTTTTTGTTTATGGTCAAAATTAGGGATGTTAACATCGCATACATATCTATGTGCGTCAACGAGCGATAGTATCGATATACAAGAGATGGGGAACTATGAAAATGGCAATGTTTCTAAAACAACTAAATAATGCAAATGTACTCTTATAGCTTTAATTTATAGCATTATTTGCTATGAAAAAATATTAATTTATTAAATTTTCAGCCCCTAAATTTAAATTTTACTGACTTTTTGCGTTACGATAGTCTCAGTCAACTGCAATCGTGTGTTGTGATTACCGATAGTCGATTGCTTATACAGTCGTTACACTGAACTGTAACAAACAGAATAAAAACAAAGAATTAGCTCTGCGAATTTTTGTGAATTGTTTATATTGAAATTTATAACACCTGTTGTGATGTCACGTCGCAGCCAAGACATACCGATACGCCCACGTTACGGCTACAGCGAAGAGGCAGACGGTGAAGACGCCAGCACCAGCCAGAACAAGCAGCGCAACAACGCCTGCACTCCTGCTTCCTACTCAGAGATTCCCTTCCTGGCCCAATACGCAGGAGCAGTGCCCGATCATGTGCTGCAGGACCTCACGCCGACAGCTGGGAAAGTGCCCTCAGCAGGTAGCGATAGCTACATGAATTTGGACTCGGGTGACGGCGAAAACGAGGAGGAGGAAGAAGACGAGGACGAGGATCCGAGCAATAGCAACTCGAAGGACTCGAAAGATAGCTCCAATGAGCTGAGCAAGCACAGCAGTCAACCGGCGACGCAGTCCAGTGAGTGCATCGCTCTGGCCAATGTTCCAGCTCTCAAATCTCTTAATTCTACTCCTGCAGGCTTCCCTTATGAGTTGGAAGGAGCAGTTGCCGCAAGCGCGGGTGCCATGCACCATTTTGTTGCCCACAACCTGGAGTCGAAGCTGCGCGCTGCCTCAGAGCAGAGCAACAACTCGGACTCGGTGCCCATCTCCAGATTTCTGCAGTCACGCAATGTGCCCGAGGTTGATGGAAATGTACTCAGCGACATTGAGCTGGAGGCGCAATATCTGGCCTCTTCTGTGGACAATTTGATCGAGAATTTGGGCAATCTGCTGCACTCCATCAGCAGCATTACTGCCGAAAATGTGGAGGTACACAAGAATGCCGTAAAGAAGCTAACGGATGCCCTGGATGCAAATATCAAATGCCAGTATCAGCTTCTGGCCAAGACGGAGGAGATCACCAAGTCGATGCGACCCACCGAGCAGCTCAGTGTCCGCATGTGAGTGCTCCCTGATTACCCACCATATATTATATTTCTACCTTTTAGTATATTCTTATTTACAGTCGCGAGATCAAGCGCCTTGTGGATATGCTGGATAGCTCGATGTAGGAGGAAATCAGCGGCGGGATTGGAGGCGTGGAACTCGCTGCTGCATTTGAGCAGGAATTGAATACGCCCTGTGCTTTTCTTTAAGCCTTAACATTCCAATTTGTTACTATACTAGTCATTTTACTATAATCAATTAGTTTAAATCGTTGATATAAAAAAAATTAGTTTTAAACGCTATCAAATTTTAAAACGAGCGGCATTTTACTAATACCGATAATAAATCGATAGGCGTGGCACCATGTACAGAAAACGATTAAACATTACGATGTGACCAGCAGACTTAACATTTAGTTCTCTTGGAATTCAGCTAGAGTTGGTATATTTCGGATTCATTTTTTGGTACATTTTCTTATGTGTATTTTTCAAATACTATTTGACAGTCACTCTGGCCCACCCAGTCTACTAAAACTCTCTGAGCAACGCGTACATCAAGTCGCTCGGACTGCGGGCTCTCGTGTAGAAGTGTGGAATAAAAAAGAAATAATATAGAAATAAAGTTTTCATTGTGTTTCTCATGCGTGCGTGTGTGTAAAAAAGAGCGACCGAGAGAAAACATGGCGAGTGTTTTAATAACGCAAATTCGATTGCACTTTCTATAATTCCCAAAAAATTATTTTCTGTTCGTAATGCGGTCCAAGTGTTTGCGCTCAATGTGAATGCTTGTTTTTTTTTCTCACAATATTTCCTTCCTTTTCTTCGCGCCAGTCAACAAAAAAATTAATGAAAAGTAAGCACAAATACGTCTGTATATTAAATGAGTGTGCGTGTGTGGGACTGTGTGTGTATTTGAGTGACTTTTTGCTGTAGCAGAGAGAAACTCAAAATGAATTGAAAACGATGAACTCAAAGTAGCGCACGTAGCATATGTGTGCATATGTATCTATGTTTGTATGTATATGCATGTATGCATATGAGTGAGTGAGTGAGCGAGAGCGCGTGTTTTATACACGTTTTCAATTGCATTTTAAATTGTTTTTTTTTTTTTTTTTCTGCTACAAACTTTTGATTGTATATGTAGACAGACATGTTTTATTGCCATTTTAATAACAATTTGAATACAGGGTGGGGTATATACACCCTAGCGAAGTTTAATTAATTTCCATTTTCCATTTATTTCTGCTTTTGTATACGTTGCCATATTGCGCGTCAGGGAAATAACTGTTCACTTTCCATATGCTGGCGTATGCGGGCGCTTTCTTCCCTTCCTTTTCGAAACGCACCCTGTACTGTTTGTTATTCTTAACTGTAGACAAAAGTTCGCCGCAATATTCATTCACATTTACAACGACTCAATTTGTTGTTGCACAGATAGTGTAAGCTATAATGTGACTGTATGTGTGTGTGTGTGTGTGTGTGTGTGCGTCTTCCTTTCTGCCTAGCGCTGCGTCATCACAAACAACATGAAAGAAATGCCGCCAGCGTCGCCGGTGAGCGTGAGAGCAGAGAGAGCGAGCGAGTGTGTGTGTGTGAGAGAGCGGCATCAGAGAGCGCGTGTGTTAGCTGTGTGTCATTCATGCGAAGGATACTGAAAAGCATTCGACGTCGGCAGCGCTGCCTGCGTTCGCTGCTGCTGCCGCTGGCAATGTTGACTGAGCACAATTAGCTGTAAAATATTTAAAGACAAATGAAAATAAATTGTTGCACAACTTGAGCTTAGCTAAGAGAACCTCTATGCTCTCCATCTCTCTCTCTCTCTCTCCCTGGCACTTTTCGCTCCACACTTGACAATTCAAGGAATCGCAGGCAGCTTCGGCAGCTGTTCGAAAGCTGCCCAAGTGGATTGGCAGTAGTTGATGAAGGGGGAAGATCTCGAATTGGGGCTCAAGCTGCAGCAGTCTTGATTAGTTTCAACTGCTTTTAAATGTGGAAAATTCTACGTCTGGAAATGTGTTGCTATAAAATAAATGACATTCATTTTACAGTACAGTGTTACCTGCCAGAAGCGATCGACATCTAATGGCAAAATCAGCTGGCTATATATAATTTATATTTATTTCTTATTATATTTAAAGAAAACTTATGAAACTTCCAGCTTAGTTGCTTAATGTGTATTAGTTTAATTATTAGAAACTTCAAGTTATAGAAAACTTATTTAATTTTAAGACGAAATTTAACAACTTCGACCGCGCTTAGCCGGGTGACAGCAGCCTAGTTAGCAGCATAAAATCTAATTTGCCTACTCTGCTTCCTCTCCCCTCCCACTCAAAGAACTTTTCCATATGCTTACAGACAGACATGTACACACATGTGTATGCGTGTGTGTGTGTGCTGTGGCCGTATGCTCACCTGGGAGATGCTCCTTGCCTTTGCCCTGCCTCAATTTCTCATGCCTTCGTCTTTTAAAAATGTAACTGTGCCATTTTCTGGGCTAAAAATATGTTATAAAAGCACACACACATACAGTTAGACACCCGCACAAGCACACACTCACACATGTGCGTATTAGTTTCTGTGTGGAATTAAGTCTGCCCACGACGCAAGTTTCGCGTTTTGCCGCCGGCCATCCGACCCTCGACCTAAGCCGCTGCACTCTCGCCCTCTCTCTTTTACTGTTGAGCCTTCTTGCTGATTGTGCAAAAGAAACTATATCTGACGCGCTCGTAATCCACTCCGCGCCTTTTGCCAACTACGTAAATCCTTACGTGTCTGTTGAAATAAGCAAAAGCAAAGCAAAGCAGAGCCACCCACCCGCCGACGCTAGGTAGCGCGCCCACGTCAGCAAAGCGACAATTTCGCGAGTCCCCCGGGCAGAGCCTCTCAACACACTGCGTCCGAAGAGAGTGGGAAGAAGAGAGTGAAGCTCTGCCGCAGCTGGCGCTTGCGCAGGCGCCCGAACACACAGCGAAAGGCAGCGACGCCTTTGCCAGCCTTCGGCCGCAGCTGCAGCACTGGCAGCGTGGCAGAGTCTCAGCAAACGGCGGCCGAGCCAGACGTAAAAAGCGGGCAGCCCAGCAAATAAAAACATATATTCAAAATAAAAATGAAAATAAATTAAATACATTTGAAAAGAAAAAAAACAAGGCTCGTCCTCGCACAAAGTGCTCGCTCGCAGCAAGTTAAGCTAATAATAAACTGGAAAACGTTTGGCTGATCTCAATTCTCTCTGAAAGTGCTGTCTGCCTGCATGTGTATATGTAACAGTATATGAATATATAAGTGTGAGTGTTGTGTGTGTGCAAAAACTTCAATAAATAAGTGTCGCAATTTGCAAACAAACTCAATTTTATTAATAAATACGTATAACTTGTGTTGTTGTTGCTGTTTAGCGACTCGCCCAACCGCAAGTAACAAAAACAAAAAAAAAAACTCGTTTTGCCGTTTTGTGTGCTGGGCTGCTAACTGCGCTGTTTGTGCGCTGCTCGTGGCTCAGCTTGAGATTCGTTGCTCTGCTGCTGCTTCCATTTTGTTGTTGACGTCTGCGCCGGTCGATGTGTCGCTGACGTCGACGCTGCCTTTCCATATATGTGTGTGTGTTTATGTTTGTTTGTTATGTTTGTTGTCTCGGCTGTAGCAACTCCTTGCGCTCTCTCTTGTGAGCAGCGGCAGCGGCCGCGACGCCAACGTCAACGTCGGCAGCATCTTTGCAACTTTTTCTTGCCTTTATTACTGTATGTTTATGCACATGTATGGGTATGCGTTTGAGTGTGTGTTTGTATGAGAACCGGCTTTTTGTTTGCATTAATTTTTGTTTTCTCGTCGCACATATTCAGTTTTTTATTATTATTTTTTGTGCTTCCCCCTGCCAATTGCCGATCTGTCTAACCCAACAAGTTGTTAATTTTGTTTTTTAACACTCACACTCGCACAACTGCAAACGAAAGTCGCCAATTGGACACAATTTGAAACCCAAGAACTTTTTTGCGTTGCCCTTCAATACAAAGTGCGTAGCAGAAGAAAAAAAAAAACAGTTCAATTGGCTTATGTGCGTGCATGTGTGTGTATTTCTATCTCTGTCTAGCACTTGTCCCTAGTGCCTAATCTACGAATTTGTTGCTGTTGCTATTGTCTTACGCTGCTGTGTTGTTGCTGCCGCATGTTTTTATAGTTTTTGCGTAGTTTTATATTTCGGCTCGACACAAACACAGACACATACACACTCATACACACATAGACAAATACGCAGTCACCCAAAACGTTTCCCATATGAAAGCGTCGCACAGTGGTTGACACGGTGTAAAATAAATTACAAAATGGCTAAATATTGGTTAGGTGATTCTTTTTTAAATGTAAGGTATATAAATCATATTTCTATTAGAGATTTTGTACAAATCTGATGAAATGAATCCTATATAAATATGAAATTTTGAAAGCTTGCATCTCATACCATACCATACCACTGTGCAAGGGCCCGACAAAAAGACACAAACACAAACCTCAAATTGGCAGCGTCTGGCAACGTTTATTTGATTGTTGTTGTTGTCGTTGTTGCTTTTGTTGTTTCGCACCAAAGACGCCAATGGAAATTTTCGAAATTATAACGAAAATTGTTGTTTTCCATGTTTCCAGCGTGGGAAAGAAACACTGAATTGCGCTGCAGCTTTAGATTCCAATTAGAATTCCCATTGCTAGAGTGTAATGCCTATTAATATCAATCTATACAAAATTTAACTAATAAAATGTATTTCTTTCTACTTGCAGATTCTCTTCTTATTCAACACAAATTGTCCACACAAATAAAACAAAATATCTAATTTGTATATATTAAAGTCAACAATCTCGATGTTACACAAGGCCCGGACCAATCATATATTTGGTCAAGCAAAGCGTAATATTTTTGTACAGCAAATAAAGTCGGGAGAAGGCGAATTGGAAAAGTCAACAAATGCAAGAGAAATAAGATAAAGAGCTTGCAAACGAGCCGAGAGCTTAACACCGAGAGAGCTAGAGAGTAACATATATAGAGGTAGACCGAAAGAGAGAGCGAGAGTAGTAGAGAGAGAGAGAGAGAGCACCAGAGGATCGTTTTATCAATTCGCATGCGCCAATGAAAACGTCGCATCCTTCGCACGCGTCCGATTTCGTCATCGACTACGCCGTCGTTGCCGGTTCCGGTTCCGGTTCAGCTGCAACAGAACAAGAGCACATTTATAGGCCACGTCTCAGCACCTATGCAGCATCAGCAGCAGCAGCAGCAGCAGCATCAACACCAGCACCAGTAGTCCCTGCGCATGGGCTGGACGTAAAGCCAACCGTCGAACAGATCAGCATTGGCATCAGCTGCGATCTGAAGCCCATTGTCTATCTCGACGCGGAGACACGGCAGCCGCGACAGCGCAGCGTCATCATCAAGCAGCACTCACAGCATAATCAACACCAGCAACAATCTCATCATCATCATCAGCAGCAGCAGCAACATCATTATCAACAGCAGCAGCAGCAGCAGCAGCAGCAGAAAACGTTGTCCAAGTCAACAGCAGCGGTCAACAGCAAGCGAAAGCGCGAAACAGGTGAGTTCTATTTATATCTGAGATAAGTTGGAATAGATCTCATAGGGCTGGAACTGGATGTACATAAAAATTGACTAGACGATCAGACTCAGTGAAAAACTCTTCAGAGTGAAATGGGGAGAAATAGAAACTTTATGAAATATAAGAATTTGTTTGACTTTGATTAACTGATCGAATCTATAAGTTCGCTCAGCTCCCATGAATACAGTAATCGTTAATTTATTATAAATTCAATTTAAAACTGTTCGAAATGAACAAGTTCCGTTCCCAGCTGAAAACACATGGAATAATGAATATTTCAAGTGAATTTCTGATGCATTTCTTATAAAATATTTCGTCATCTTATGCCGAGAGAAGCAGATGAAATTATCTATGGCAGAAAGTCAAGGTACGCCCTGCCCCGGATGTTAATAAAAATAAAGGCTGTTATCGATAAATTATATAAATATACATCTATGTATGTAATATAATATCATTTTATACAAAAGTCAGCCGAAAGATATAGCCAAACAAAGTTTTCCTCTTTTACTTGTGATTCATTCCAATACCAACATTAGGGGCACTCCGCTCTGTTTATTTATGGCATTGAGTAAAACAAATAATGCTCGAATATGTGTATCTGAAATTTTGCTGCCGACTTGAATTAACATAGCTTGAAACATCCACTGTTATCGTTATCGTTATCGTTCTTTTTTATATCGAACCGCAGACAACAATTTATGATGATTATATTAATATATGTATGTATGTATCTAATATACATTCAATATAAACAGTTTCTCTGCCTCTTCTTCTGCTTTTTGCCATTTGTCGCTTATCAAGGGTAGCCTCGCTTTATTTATACGGCTATCTCCCTCTCCCTCCCTCTCTGTCTCTATTGATAATCAAACAATAAACGTGAAACCATGCAAAATTGTGTTCATGTTTTATTGTTGTTGTCACTTGGCTTCAATTGGTATTTGTTGTTGTTGCTTTTCCCCCATGGGCTTGTGTATGAATACCCAGACGCTTATCATCGTTCTCTGTCTTTCGTTCTTCTTCCCTCTGTCTTCAGTGTTCCTGCTTATCATCATTTCTCCCCTCACTTTGTTCTCTATCTTCTTTCACGTCTCATTTGCCTCTCTTGTCATTTCGCGCTGTTGCCATCTCCGATTACTTTTGCCAGCTCAAACATGTCTCTTATCGCTTGTCTCTTTCAGCTCTGTTTGTTGATGTTTTTATTGCCTCTGCTGGCTCCTTTAATTTCACTCTTGGTCTACGCTCTGCTTCTTTATTTGTTTTCGCTTTTTTATTCATCTTATTCGATATGCTTACTCACACTTATATAGATATGTACATTCACTTAGAGCTAGCCTTAAATGTACCGAGCATCTAGGGTTTATCTATAATCATTTTTATTTCAACTCCTCCCAAGGTGAGCTATAGCATGATTCCTAGCGCAGTCCCTAACTATACATAAATATATCAATATATCATTCTAATAATCTAATCGCTAGCTCATTCGTATAAGCAAATTTTCAAGGTTCTATTTCCACCCAAGTCCGATGTGTCATAAATATCATAATCTTGGGCTCTTTCTCAATCAAGTATTGATACTATTATTGATAATCTCGTATATTGAGTCAATATCCTGATCTTCTTATAAACAACTTTTAAGATTTAGTATTGAGCTTTTTTTCTATTCGATTCTGATGTAAGGATTATTATGATTGATTCACACTTATACATTTTTGTAAACTTGTTCTACAAAAATAAGAAATGTATGTAGTTGAAGCAGAGGCAAAGTGAGATAAGGCTTAGTGTTTGCTTTCATTTCCTTTAGCTCTTGCTCGAGTGTCTCTCAGCCAATTACCCACCCTTTCTATCCCATTCTCTCTCCCTCTCTGTCTCTCTTAGTTTACATTTAAATTTTGTTTTCTTCAGTTTTTATTTATTATTTATTTTTGTATTTGTCTTTCGCCTATTGCGACTTATATATTGTTGTTTGTATTGCTATCTCCCTTTCGCTCATTAAACATTTTTATTTGTTTATGGTTTTTTTTTTCTTTTTATGTTTTTATTTTTGCCTGTTTTGCTCTACGTTTGCCTTTTATCATGATAATACGCTGAAATACTTTTTGGAGCTGTTTTTGTATTCTAGTAATATTTCTGCTCTATATACATATGTGTATGTATGCGTGTGTGTGTTCGCCTGGGGTGTGCGGGCTATATAAAAATAAACAGTTTTTTGTTTTTGCTACTTGGAAACGGTTCTGCCAAGCGCTCCTCGATAAGCAAGAAACCGCAATTTGTGCCGCTTCCCTTGAGGTACCATCATGTTTTCCCAAAGGGGTTCGATAAGCACTCGTAATACCCGTTAAGTCTGCAACTTTCCAGTGCCTGGAACTGTGGGAATGTGCACATGTTTCTGGCATACTCCGACTTGACTTGTTCTAGATAAAGATAAAGTTCTGTTCGGAACTTGTTTTATCTGTACATGTGTGTCTATGTATTAGAAATATGTATGTAATTGAAATTTCATTAATTCGTTAAGAAATGGTTGTAAAGTCTATCCTAAATACTTAACTCGATGCTCTACAAGCTTGAAAAATTATTTCCAATTCGTTAGACTCAATTACTTCTCACATGGTTGGATATATAGTTGAATATCTTCAACTAAAAAACCACTCAAAGCCAGTGTAAACAAAATACCAGTTGGTCTTGAATGGAGCTTTTCTTCGAAGATCTCATGCTCCATTTCCAGTTTCAGTTCTTTTTATCTCTGTAAAATCTGTTCTTTGTAACAGCGAGAATGACATACATAACCATCAATGGTCTCTCGACTTTTTTCATTTTCCACTTTACAGTTCTCATATTCTCTCAGTCTCATGCTTCTTCCTGTTTGTACTTTCTCCCATAAATCTAGTTGGCAACAAATTGCACAGAAATCACATTTTTCGTGATCTGTGGCAACTCTGGCTCTGCCCTATTATTTTGCAGTGGGTGAAAGGAGTTAAACTAGCTGAATTCCATGTGTGTAAGCATGCCTGTATGTGTGTGTCTTCGAAATACAGGCTTGCAATTTCACTCAGCCTGCTCACACACGCACTCACACACACACAGTCGTAAACAGGCCCAAGTGTTGCCTGCAGCGCTCTGTGCAAAACGAGAATCTTCCAGTCTGCTGCTTCTGCTTCTCTCTCGCTCGCTCCCTCTCTTCTTCGCCTAGCGTGCTTATGAAGTTCGCTCTTCCAGGCTCTTGCTCCTCTTTTGCATGTCTGCCTTACGCGGCCCAAGTTATGTACATCAAAGGCATTCTAAGCTAGCGACAGCACCCACCTCATACGTAGGAGCTGGCGAGAGAGGGCGTGTGTTCTATAGGGCGCGTCGCTCATATGCCAATCACAGTTGCTGCGTAGCAGCGCTGCTGCTGCGCTGCTTTCAGTTTTTGTTTTTAAGTTCGCTTTAGTTTTTGCGTCTCTCTCGCCCTGTCGCGCTACCAATGACAAAGTTACTTTATTATTGCGTGCTTTTGACTGCGTAAGTGTGTGTGTGTGTGTGTGTCTGCGAGAACCTGTAAACACCACAACGCAATGTAAATGAAATATTCATGCAAGACGTCACGTAGCGTGGCTTTAAAGCAAAATTCCATGACATCCAAATGTTAATTTGGTGTAAACAAAGAGAGCAGAAGAGTTAACGACCGACCCCATTGCGTTTATATATGGTTGACACTAAGCCTAGACGAGCTAATTGATAACAAATCGTATGCAATCGAGTGAAATTCATCGCACCTGTGTGTCAATTGCGTGATCGACTGGAATCAAGTGGAAATGGAGCTGAGTATGGGAATGGGAATGGAAATGGTAGACGCAGGTGTGGCAATCGAACGGCATTTGCAATTGCTGTCAATTTTCTTATTTTCGTCATATTCGCGGCGAACCTTGTGGCCAAAAGCGAGACCTCGACAGTTAAACTGAGCTGCGCTTAGCTAAGGTTAAGGGAAGGCCACTTCAAGTGGGCGAGTGCGAATGCTAACTAAAAGTGATATGAACGATATACATACATATGTATATACATATATACATACACACACACACACACGTACATCTATAACTCATTTAAGTCTATGTAAATGTTGCTAAACATGTTGTCTGTCGTGTGTATCTCTGCGTTACAGCAGCTGCCTGTCGCAATACACACACAAATACGCGCACACACACATGCACACGCACGCACGCTACTGCTACATACATACATACAATTATGTACAAAATTTCAGTAAGCTCGCTAAACATGGCGCGTGCGACAGAGACAGAACTTTTCTGTCATGTCAAAAAGGAACCAAAAAAAGTACACAAAGTGTTTTCAAGTGAGGTAGGGTATACGCGGATTGAGTTGCTTTAAAGTAATACAACATTTAAAAAAAAAATTAAAGAAATGTTAAAATATCTCTAATTTCCAAATAATAAGGATATATAAACAGTTGTCGATTTTCTTTTTGCAGAGTATATTAAGGTAGAAAAAAATAAAGGACTGTAAAAATTAAATAAATTACATAATTTTTTGTGTTGATCCCTTTATTTAGTTTAGTATCAATTGCTGATTAAATGGTATATATTGTACAGGGTATTTGATCGCTTGCTTTTACATGGTAATGTTTCTGCCTTTATTAATTGGCTTTATTTTGCAGCATTTCAATTGACGGAGTCTCAAAATAATTGAGATTCTTGTGTATTGCAGGGTATGCTCTGAGCCTAAGTAAATTTAATGTATTTTTCGCAATTTCTTTTTGCATTTTTAACTTGACATTATTATTTTTTCGGCGCAATTGAATTGAATGATGCCGCCAGTCGACCTTTGCGTCAGTTTTACTCAAATTTTTGGGGCTAGAAGCAATTGTATATTACATAAAGTATATTATATGTATATACAAGTATTTACCGCAATTGTAATTAACATATACGTATTTTATCTTCTTCTATTGCAGGTAAGCAATTTCAACTGGGAACTAGTTGAGT